TTACCTGGAAGGAACAGCAGCGCCTGCTCCCCCTCGAGAGGCGCTCTGGTGGAGGCCGTGCAGGAGTCCTGGGCTGAGCTTGGTGTGGAGCCGTCGCCCTCTGAGCAGTCGGCCTGTCCTGAGGCCAGACTGGATATGTATAACAAATAGCCTGCTGCTTCATGGCCCATTGAGGGCTCTGGAAGGCACCCTGTTGGGGCTGGCTTGCAGCGGGCTTGTCTCTGCCCTCATCCACCGCCTTCCAAAGACACCTGCCCGCGCTCAGGATTGATGGGGAGTGAGGGCTGCTTGGGGAGTTGTTCTGCTCCCAGTTGCACCTCTGGCCACTGGACCTGGGCCTGGGATTTGTTGGCTGTTGTAGGATGAGCAGGGAAGGAATGTCTGCTCAGCATTAGCGCGTTTTTCGTCATGAAAACTTTCAGCCATACACAGAGGGTGCGAGTATGTTTCCATCCAGCCATTTCCCTCTCACCTGGGTGGTCCTCAGGGTGCTTCCACCCATGCTTTGTCTGCAGTTTCTACTTTTTCTGTGAACTAAAGCATTGCAAGACACAAGCCAGGCATCATGTCACTTCATTCCCGTGTACTTCAGTGTGCCTCTCTAAGCTGCAGGCATTGTTGCTGTGACCGAGTGGCATCACCACACGGCTGACACACGTCTTGTGCAACGGCACACCCTCCTCATCCCATTCCTCAGCCATCTCCTGTTAGCAGCTGGCACATTCGCCTCTGGCTCCAGAGTCGGCCCTTTTGCATCTGCTTGCTGTCTCAAGTCTCTTTCATCTCGAGCACCCCGTCTCCTATTTTGTCCATGCCCTTGTTGCCAAAAAGAGGGCAGTTGTCCTGTAATTAGGCTTACCTTCTGCTGTTATGCTGCTTGCTTCCTGGTGGCTTCTCTGTCGCCCCAGCTCCTGCAGTTAAAAAGGAGCTTGAGGCTTGGTTAGATGCCAGTCTTTTTGCAAGAATGTCTCCAGGTGGTGCTGAGTGCTTCCCGTGGCATCACAGTGAGGCACACATGTCTGGTTGCTCCTCTTTGAGTCGTGCTAAGGTTGACCTGTGGCTTCATGTGCGGTCAGCCTGGTCCTTTCAGGGTCAAGTTCTGGGTCAGCCTTCCAGCTCCTGTTTTTACCCATTACTTACCATGCCCTAAATCTGGTGTTCCATAAGGGCTGTTTCATCATCTTGAAAGAGAGCTCATAGAAGAAGTATAGGATAGATGCTTGTTTCCTTCTAATTGCCAATTTTCAGGGGAAAAAGTTGGTGCCCTAGTTAGTTCCAGTTTTGTCCAGTGCCTTGGGTCTCTCCAGCTCTCTGGCTCTGACTCTTTCTCCTGCATTTCTTGCCATCATGAACTCCTGGTATTTGTATATTTAGTGTGTCTCAAGCTATTACATTTCTGATTCCTTTTGGTACTGTGTTCCCTTGGCATGACTCTTGCTTTCTGGCATAACAGGATGTCCCAAGCCCATTTTGTAAGTGTTGCTCTGGCCTTGAAGCCAGCTGTCCCCCCCAAGATCCCTTGCTTCCTGGCAGGGGAAAGGTATGCTCACTGCTGTTGGATCTTGCTGCCTCCGGGCCTTTTTGGTGATAAGGCTAAAAGGAAAAAAATATGTATTCAAACTGGTATTTTAAAATCAAATTTTACATTACAGGAATTTTTTCTTAACTTTGATTTTATGCTCAGATCTTATTTGTCTTGGTTCCTAACAATGTTAAGATAAGTTATTTGTATTATCCTACTTTATAAAAACTCTCGGCCAGGTATGGTGGCTCAAACTTGCAATCCCAGCACTTTGGGAGGCTGAGACAAGAGGATTACCTGAGCCTGCGGGTTTGAGACCAACCTGGGCAACATGGTGAGACCTTGTCTCTACAAAATACAAAAATTAGCCATGTGTGGTGGCACGCATCTATAGCTCTGGCTACTTGGAAGGCGAGGCGGAAGGATCACCGGAGCCTGGCAGGTTGACGCTGGGGTGGCCATGAGTGTGCCACTGCACTCCAGCCTGGGAGATGGAGGAGATTCCAACTCAAAAAAACAAAACAAAACTCTGATATTGTTATAATTAACAAGTAAACTACTGAAAGAAGTTTGATGTCTTTGCAGTGTGTTGGTCAGTGGGACATGTGCTGGGTGTGGACTGTCAGTACACTGTGTTCAGAGGCCATCTGCAGATGTGTCAGCAGTGTGACTGCTAGGCTCATCCTCTTTTGTTTTAAAATTGTAAACGTGGATTTTCTTTTTACTTAGTTTTTTAGCTGTATTAAACGTTTGTTTTTAAAGTTAAAACTATATAACAAAGTATATTCAGAGAAGTCTTACCTTTCTTCTTGTCTCCTTCCTCCCAGATAGGTCATTGTTACGTTAACTTTGGGGTTATCTTTCACATGACTATTTGTTATACATATAAACAAAGATATGAATACATGCCTATTCCCTTATTTTTTTGCCCAAGGGCAGCCTAGCATACAGATGCTGTGCCCTGCTTTCTTAATCTCGCAGGATTGCCGGCCTCTCTGTGCAGTGCACAGCGCTCTTCCTCATCCTCTCTCTGCTGTGAGGAAAGTGCTGCAGTTGATTCCACGAGTTCCCTCCTGGTGGACCTTGGAGTGCCTGCAATGTTGCTGTATTGAATACTGACTCTGAATAATCTCGTATATCAGTCCCTGTTTTGCCAGTATATCTTTGGAGTAGATTTCTAGGATTGTTACTAGACAAAGACTAGATGCATACATAATTTTTCTGGATATGTGACTGCTTTTGCTGAAATTTTGGATTTCATAATTCTAACACTTCTATCTAGAAGCAGTTCAATTAATTTTGCCATTTTAATGTTTAAGAAATCACTTCAATCACTCGTGCATCTTGGTATAGAACATACTACTGAAAGTGTTAATTTAAGAAGATCTAGTTATTTCATCTAGTTAAAACATCACTACATTTAGAGTTTAAAAGCCTATTGCTAAGACATGGTCCTAAATCTCCGAAGATTTCAGGTGGAATATATTGGGGTTTACTTTCACCTTGATTTCCTCTGTGTTCTATTTGTTGGGTACTTTGTGCCCTTCAGGCTATCAAGAGACTGGAATAAGGCATACGAACTATATGTACTATATGTGGGTGAGCAAGGGCGCCCTGGAGTGCTCAGGAGATGTCTAGTGCATGTTGACTGGACACCTCCTCTCGCCAGATTGTATCAGTGAGCAGCACACAGCTCCCCCCTCCTGGCACCTGCAGCCTAGTACGGGAGGCAGGTCAAAAACCAGGGAACAGATGCAATTATTACAAGTTATGTATGCTTTGAAGGCATCAGAGAAGATTAAAATAGAGGCTAGCCAGGGGCCTTCTCTAGGTGGGGGAGAGGCAGCTGCACACAAAGCCCTTCTTGAAGCCAGGAGGGAGTAGCTCAAGCCCTGGGAACTGTGGTCCCAGGCTGCGAGGCAGGAGGCGCCTTGGGGTGTGTGAGAGCTGAAAGAGCAAGCCAGTGGCGGAAAGCACAGAAAGCACAGGGAGCCCACGGGGCACAGGCCTGTTCCAGGTAAGGATTTGGAAACCACTGAAGGCAATTAAGCAGGGGAATGGCATTTGATACCAACATGTCATATGCTTATTTTCTCCATAGATTAGAAGGCAGCTCAGATAGGACTCCGTATCTCCAATAGCAGCAGTGTACCTTCTGAAGTTCAAAGTGGAGATAGTTTTTCTTGTTGTTCTTTGTACAGGACAGCCACTTTTCATACTCATATGTAGGCCTGTTGAGGATTTCTCTTCTCTTTTGCTAATAGTCCCCTTGAAATTTTTCACCTAATTGCAATGAGTGGTTGTAATTGGATTTTGTACTTGGGCTGTAAACAGGAGCATGATATCTACACGTTCTCTTCTTCAGACCTGCAAATCCAAGAGACACATCTCTATGGAAGATAAGAGAGCTGCTTCTTCAAGATCAAAAGAGGTTTGTGTTACTGTTGTGAAATTTATATAAAATTAATTATAGACTCAATGGCAATGTTCTGGACAAAAAAGCCATTTTTAACTTATTTATCTATGTTTCTCTTTCAGGAGACTGGCGTGACACCTATGTAGAGCGTCCTCAGAATCACGTCTTTCCACACCTGGACCCTGAGGAGCTGCTTCCTGCAAGGGCTTCCTGTCCGATGCGTAGGAGGCAGGATGTTAAACTGACTTCAGGGGACAGCTGCAGAGGCTCGAGACCAACCAGCAGTACCTCACCCTCCAGTACAGGGGCCACACTGTGTGGTCCTTTTTCTAGAAGTGAGAAGTACGAGCTTACTGTACGAGAGGAAGATTCTAGGGGCGTAAAAACGCAAAGGTTTGCACCTTGAGAGCCCCTTGGGATGTTGACAACTCAGGATCTAAAACAAAGTTCTATGCTAATGAGTTTCAGAATTCACGTGGAAGTAAATACCACTTTATAATCAATAATAGTACTGAGTGAGGAACACTATGCAGGAAGAAACCTTCCATAGGAAGACAGGCAGGGAAAAGCTTAGGCTGACCTTGACCTTACCTGACAGAATAAGCCTGAGATAGACCCCAGAATGGCCAAATAAGAGACTCTGTGAAGTAACAGTGCTGTAACTGTAGTAGTTGTAAGGAAGTTTTCGCCTCCAAATCACGATACCAAATAGGAAAAATGATCTACAAGTGCCCCATGTGTAGGGAATTTTTCTCTGAGAGAGCAGATCTTTTTATGCATCAGAAAATTCACACAGCTGAGAAACCCCATAAATGTGACAAGTGTGATAAGGGTTTCTTTCATATATCAGAGCTTCACATCCACTGGAGAGACCACACAGGCGAGAAGGTCTATAAATGTGATGATTGTGGTAAGGATTTTAGCACTACAACAAAACTGAACAGACATAAGAAAATCCACACGGTGGAGAAGCCCTATAAGTGCTATGAGTGTGGCAAAGCCTTCAATTGGAGCTCCCATCTTCAGATCCATATGAGAGTCCACACAGGTGAGAAGCCCTATGTCTGCAGTGAGTGTGGGAGGGGCTTCAGTAATAGTTCCAACCTTTGCATGCATCAGCGAGTCCACACCGGGGAGAAGCCCTTTAAATGTGAGGAGTGTGGGAAGGCCTTCAGGCACACCTCTAGCCTCTGCATGCATCAAAGGGTCCACACCGGGGAGAAGCCCTATAAATGCTACGAGTGTGGGAAGGCCTTCAGTCAGAGTTCGAGCCTCTGCATCCACCAGAGAGTCCACACTGGAGAGAAGCCCTATCGATGCTGTGGGTGTGGGAAGGCCTTCAGTCAGAGTTCGAGTCTCTGCATCCACCAGAGAGTCCACACAGGAGAAAAACCTTTTAAGTGTGATGAGTGTGGAAAGGCCTTCAGTCAGAGTACGAGCCTCTGCATCCACCAGAGAGTCCATACGAAGGAGAGAAACCATCTCAAAATATCAGTTATATAAAATGTTTTGCTAAGAGTTACAAATCTTAAAACCCATAAGTGCCACTAGGAAGGAAACCCTGTATATACCTACATTGATTGACCCAAGAAATATTTTCAGCAATCCCTAGCAGAGCATTCTTTTTGAGGGGGCATATGTGAGGTTGATTTTTTGATTCATGTCAAGTGTGTTCCACAACTTGGCTTTGAATATGGACCTCCGAGGATCTGCCCGAGACAGGCTGTCAGGTCCCAGGCGTGGGTGTGCGTTTCCTGGGGTTCTGGCACGACACCTCTGTAGTTGAAATACTACACGGCCAACCATGACCATTGCCCAGCCTCCTGAGTCACTTCTGTCTACGCTTTCCTTAAAGTTATCCCAGATACTCCAGCTGTAGCTCACGCCCTTCCTTCCTCTCCATGCGGCATACTGGTGATGCATTTGAAGATGGCCGGCTCTCACTAGGTCGCGTTCTGGTGTTTCTGAGGTTCCCACTCGATTTAGCCCCTCCATAGCTTTCCATAGATCGATTATTTCTGAGCCCACTTTGCCTCTGTGTCCTCAAAATACCCATATCCATCCCTTCCTAGATGGCATCAGATTTCATTTTAGATTTTAGGTGGCTCATGATATCCATTCACTTGGCCTATCAGAAAAACCATTGGCAGACATACATGCCCTTAACTTTTCTTGACCTTTTTGTTACCGATTCTGCTAATCACTGTGTCTCTATGTTAGACTTTTTTTCTAGTGGCTGCATCACATATTTTTAACTTGAATTTTTTGGAAAGTAGCTGAATGTAAATAGGGAGGAAGAAACAAGCAAAGTGAGAACTTTTCTCCACCCAGAACTGCCCTCTCGGGCTCCTTCTGTAACCCAGGGACCTCCTTCCTGCTCGGGAGACCTTGTGAGAAGTGGGTGGCAGGAGGAGTCACCAGGGACGCTGAGTCTGTTTCTGTAATCTTGGGCAATAACACGTAGGAAACCTCGGTGCCCCTCCGTTGAGTGTTACATATCAGTTCCGTTTAGGCATGGACATCTTACTAATCCATCATTCTTTTCTTCATTCATTCAGCAAATATTTATTGAACACCTCCTCCATGCCAGGCACTGTGCTGGGCGCTGGGATTGCCACTGCTAAGCCAGCAAGGCCCCTGCTCTCATGGAGCTTCCTTCAGGGGGAGGAGACAGATAAGAAGCAAGTAAACAAGTACATAATGTAGTTTGAGCTAGTGGTCAAGTGCTATGAAGAAAATAAACTAGGGTGATGACTTAGTGGGGGGGTGGGGGGTGGGGCAACGTTAGCTAGCGGTCAGGGAGGCCTTTCCGTGGGGCATGAGCTGAGGCCGGAGGAGGAGGAGGACCCCTTCTGGCAACGCACGGAGGCTGCTCTGGGGACGGGCCAGGCGCTGAGAACTGAAGGCCAGCTAGAGCTGGTGCAGGGTGGGTGGGGCTGAGAGCCACTCGGTCTCCTGAGTCTCCTGGCTGTCACAGGACTTGGTGGGTTCTTGTTTTGTTTTTGTTTTGCTAGATATTAAAACTCATGTGGAGGAACTCAAGGAATGTTGAGAAGACCAAAAGTCCCCACTGACAGGAACAGAAGCAAGCAGTTGTGAACTTTGTTTCTCTTCTCATTCCTCTTTTCGTTTATTTCCCACATGCAGTCCTTTGCTCAGGAAGTCTTTGGGGAAAGTCAGGATCTTTGAGCTCTGAGATGGGTGATCAGGTCGGTGGCGTCTGTCAACTGTCTAAGAGTTGGAAAGTGAACTGCTCAGAACAGGCATGGAAATACTGAATCAAAGCTTGATTTTTCTCTCCATTTTGGATTAATTTTTTGTTTGACTGGAAGGGGTTTTTGTATAACTAAAACCCCAGCTCATAAAGGAGTTTTAAAAGGAGCACACAGGTTAGTGGGAGGGCCATGAAACTGAAGAGGGGACTTGGGGGTAAATTTGTCAATGTACAGATTTTCATCCAGACATCTCTGCTGACAAGCCTTTGGCAGGTCACTTCACATACTTTTCCTCCTTGTTACAAAGAGAGGGCTGGCTTAGTTATTTGCTAAAGCCCCTTCCAGGCCTGAATTCCATAAGTACGATTTACTGTAGTGTCTTATCACTCTTTCGTGTCACGGTAGTGTGGAACATTAGAGAAAAGCCTAGACTTTTAGTTGATAGAGAGCCAGTTGAAATACCATTGCTAGGATTTTAGTTTTAGGAAGAATTGGTTTGATTTCTAGCTTTATGACTATTAGGTAGGTGAGCTTGGGCAACTCGCTTAATCTTTGAGTCTAGTTTTCTCTCCAGTTGAGGCTATTAGGCTAAATGATTTTCGAGCTTCCAGCTAGTCCTAGAGTTCTATATTTCTACATAGCTGAATTATTTTATCATGCTGTTGCTGGGAATATGACTAACCCTTTTGAAGCTACTAATTTTATGTCAAGCTTTAAAGTCCATAATTGTTATCTTCAGAAAATATTATTTGACCTACAGTATGTCCAAATCAATTTAATAAAATCACTTTATAACAGGGTTCTGTGCTTGCCATGGAGTTATGTGAATTCAGTGGTCATTTGTGTGTGTGTGTGTGTGTGTATGTATGTGTGTGGTGGGGAATTAAGACTCAGGTGACCATATAATTTACTGTCCAGACTGGGCACTTGGGAGTTAAGGGAGGTGCTGCTATTGGTACTTAAATCTGGACAGCGGGTCTAGACTGGGACTGTCCCAGGCAAACCAAAGTGTGAGGACACTCTGGCCTGGAGGTCACAGCCAGGCAGGTAACAGATGACTGAATTAGGATAATTCCAAGGGGAGTAAAGATATGTGACCAGCTGGGGAGAGCTCGCCTGGCTGAGAGGATGGCCTCTACCAGCTGCAGCTCTGTTTTCACTGTGGACGCAGGCCCCAGTTTCCTTCAGACTCTGCTCTTTTAACCTAGATTTTTACATAAAACATAATGATTGTAAAATGTTGGCAACTCATTCATGTTCCCTGTGTGACCCGTCCTGGTCATTTCTTTGCGCCTGGTGCTCCTAGGCATGCAAGCCTCTGTGTAACCCCTGCCTGGTTCCTGTGCACCGCAGCCCACTCCTGGGAAGGCGTGAAGTGCTCTTAGCTGAAGCAGCGTGGCCCACGTTCTGTGCTCCAGTCTCTGACTGGTTCTGGTTCTGGCACCTGCTTGCTTTGAGAGACAAGTCTGCACTTCTACCCCTGAGGAGGGAGCGATCCAAAGCAGCCCTTCTTATGTGAGCAGTGTTGGGAAGAGAGGTCACCTGTTTTGGGGTACCTCCTGGTGCCTGCTAAAGTCTAGGGTGTGAGAGAAGATTGACTTCTCACAGTTTCTGACTTGGGAGGCAGAATACGTGGCAGATGCCATCTTTCCGATGGGAGGGACTTCAGAGCAGAGCCTGATACTCAGCCAGTCTGCTGTGTGGGAGCGTGGGCATGGCACACCAGGCTGTCTCAGGAGCCAGGGTTTCCTGTGTGTTGTGTAATCTTGGACATGATGCCTGCCATGGGGCCTTCTCACTCTTGGTTCTTTTCTGAAAAGTTTAAAATTATTTGACTGGGCACAGTGGCTCAGGCCTGTAATCCCAGCACTTTGGGAAGTGGAGGCAGAAGAATTCCTTGAGTTCAGGAGTTCGAGATGAACCTGGGCAACATAGCGAGACCTCATCTTTACAATTTCGAAAGTAGCCAGAGTTGGTGGCATGCACCTGTAGTCCCAGCTGTTGGAGAGGCTGAGGTGGGAGGATCACCTGAGCCTAGGAGGTTGAGGCTGCAGTGAGCTATGATTGTGCCACTGCACTCCAGCCTGGACAACGGTGAGACCCCCACCTCAAAAAGAAAATTACTGAGTACTCTTTCTGTATAACTTGCTGTTAGGAATTTTTAAAAATAGGTGAATGAAAAGCAAATACCAGAAGCAGATGGAAAAAGTACTCAGTGGTGACATCAAACCAGGGAAGAGTTAGAAGGGTTGCTCCTCTACAGAGCAGGAACCAGACAACAACAGAGCTGAGCTTAGAACTGCAGATTGGATCAGAGGTAGAAGGAGCTGGGAAGGCGGGGGTGACACAGCACTTTATGCAGTTTCTTAATTTTTATGAACCTCAAATTTCTCATCTGTAATGGTTCTGAAAAGTAGCTAACTCATGGAGCAGTTGAGAGAACCAAGCAGACATGTGAAGTGCCTGTCACTTAGTGCTCTGACACAAAAGTGTTACTCCCAGTTGCCCAGGGAGGAAGGTGAGTGCCATTTCTTTTTGTTCCACTGAGCACTGTGATGGGTTGGGCGTCTAAAATCAGGGTAAGACCTAGAGAGGGCTGCATTGCTCTGCCTTGTTGGAGAGACTTTGACTCTCCCCGATGGCCTGAGACGAGAAAACCAAAGATGGCACTGGCCTGCCAGGGAGTGGGGAGGAGCCAGTGGACCCGGACGGGCTACAGTTGTGAGGGCTCATGTTGGAAGCGTTCATGACCCCAGGATCTCTCCCTAAAGCTGGGGGTGCTTGGTCTGGGTGGGTTTCTTACAGAAGCTGGTGGAAGGACAAGTCCTGTGTCCAGGTGGAAATGAGGAACACTTAAGTTACCACACAGAAGTAAATGTAGGAGCCTGGAGAGAGAGAGCAGCCAGAGGCGAGGCTCCAAGGAATGTGCGGGAGTCTGTGGGGACTTGGAGTTCTGGGTCAAGTTCACCAGAGCCCCTCCGGGGACACGGGGAGGCCTCAGGCAGCTTTGCTACCACTCCCAGTGTGCATAAGGGAGAATAATGTTATGATCCTAAGTAAATTAAAACATACAAGTTGCTGGCTTTTTATTCTCCCTGAGTTCTCTTTTAAGTATGGAAAGAGACATGCGCAAATCCACAGACCTCAGGGCCTCGTGTTGATATCTGCCTGGAAGCACCTGGCACGACTCGGTGGAGGTGACTTTAGATCAACACTACTGTGCTTTCACATTCAGATGGTTGCAGATAAAGTACATTTCTAAGAGTGAAATAACAACAGATACAGTTTTCTCCTATTTTTAGGTGAAGTGTGCGTTTTATAGACTGTATGCCCTGCCAGCTCTACTTTGTAAATGTTACTTCTGAAGATGGGTTCTCTCAAAGACAGACTTTCCCTCTTCCTCTCAGTTCCTTACTGGACCTGAATTATGGCAGGAGTGTTGTTTTAGAGACTTTTAAAACCTCAGATCCGTAGATGGCCTCCAGAGAGTCTCCAGCTTTCTTAAATTGTGAGCAGTTGTATGTATGTGTATTGTTCTAGGTAAAGGGGGCTTAAGTTTGGGATTCTAATAGATAAAGAGCACTGACTGAGGAAAGCCTTCTGATCCAGCCACACAGTCACTTACTGAGGGACCCTAGCAGAGGGGGCACCTAAGAGTTGCGAACAAACCAGGCTCGGCTCAGCCTGTAATCTCGTGCCTTTGGGAGGCTGAGGTGAGTGGATTGCCTGAGCCCGCGGGTTCGAGACTCGCCTGGACAGCGAGACCTCATCTCTACAATAAAAAAAAAAAAAAAAAAAAATCAGCCAGGCGTGGTAGTGCCTGCCTGTAATTCCGGCTACTCGGAAGGCTGAGGCGGAAGGATCGCCGGAGCCCAGCAGGTCGAGGCGGCCACTGCACTCCAGTCTGGGTGACAGAGTGAGACTCCAACTCAAAAAAAAAAAAAAAAGTTGCGAACAGTCACGGGTGAGTGGAGTGCGCAGAACGTGGTGCGTATAATAGACGGAAGAAGCAGTGCTCTGCGGTGCTGTGCAGACAGAGGGAAGGACATGGGGATCAAGTGGACGAGACGTGCATGGGTGTCCCGCTGCGTCAGTTGTGAGGGCATACATCGTGTGCTGATGAGAACAGTCACTGAACAGCGTATCAAGGTGTGTGCAGGTGAGGACAGCGCCCGATATTCAAAGGGAGACTGGCTGGCATAGGCAAGCTGGCTGAAGGGAAGATGCTGGGTCTGCCGCTGCGTCTGGCTGTTGGTTCCAGAGGAGGCAGCGACGGGCTGTCCCCTGGGGGAGGGCCCCAGTGCTGGTGGGTTGTGTGGAGATACTCTAATAAACCTCTTCATGTCACTGGCGCTGTGTTCTTTCGTGTCTCCTTCCTGTGTCTCACTTCACTTGCCTGGAATACAAAATGAAGGTCATGTCTGTTGAAGTCAGTCCTCTTGAGCCTTCATCCTATATGTCCCTCAGATGTCTTTTTTAGCCCTGGCTCTCTTCCATCCCTGTGCATCCCTTGCCTCCTTTCTGAGATAAGGTCAAGATCCACAGGAACGTAGTCGCAAGGGCGAGTCCTGTTTCTGCCCTCTTGTGGAGGATGGTCTTGAGGTTCCGACTGGTAGCCCAGGAAGCCCTGCTTTCTGCAGCTGTTGCTGCCATACGGGGGCTGTTAGAAAGGGCATGTCTGGGGTGAACTGTGGATTCTCTATGCCTTGCTTGCTAAAACAACTCACTTGGTCCAGGGAACATCGGGAAAAACAACAACGACAACCACAAAGTATGACATGGCGGGAGTGAGTTTAAACGCAGTTCATCATAGTCACTGTGAATGGGTTAAATTCTGCCATTTATGGACATCTTCAAGTTGAATTATAAACCTCACCCTAACTTTGTAGATTACATCCTGATCACCTCTGAGAGAGGTGATGCAAAAGGTTGAGAATAAACGGGTGCCAGGAAAATGCTAACAAATAGCAAGTGGTGGTAGCGTTGTCAAAGTTGAATGCAAGGTAAACACCAATTATGAGAAGAGTGGTTTGTCAAGAAGACGAAATAAATGGCTGGGCGCCTTCATTTGGCTCACATCATAGCTTTGAAAGACAGTGTAAGGTTTTAGAATATGCAGTGAGACATTAAGTGATTCCCAGTCACGGCAGGACGGCCAGTCCTCACCAGCACTGTCAGCAAACCTAATCTGTCCGGACAGTCACAGAAAGCAGCTTTGCTTCCTGCCAGGAAGAAAATCTCACCAGATTCCAAAATGTAGCGATCCCTCAAGCCACATTCTCTGACTATCATGTAATGAAAAGGGAAGTTACTAAGATAGAGCCAAAAAACTCCTACCCACTGGGAACTTTAAAAAAAGAAAACAAGACCCTCCCTCCCACCAAGTTACAACTGAAGAGATCAAGTGTAGACTAGAGACGGGTAATGGTGGCATCTTGGGGCACGTCTTGGGGCTGAGCCGGAATAAGGACACGCTTTCACAGCCTCAAGTTCACTTGTGAAATGAGCAATACCAAAATACACCAGGCAGTCAAACGAACTGGAAAAAACAAAATGTGGAATCTAAAAATTGTATCGAACGATGTTTTGGGCCTTTATCGAGATCACGGTGTGTTCCTGTTCCTCTCACTTGGTAATGTGTTGGTCATTTTGAAAAAGAGGATGACACATTTTCTCGTCATAGAGTATTCCCCTCCGATGAATTTTTAAAAATTTATGCATAATCTAAAGAGAGATTCTTCTCTTATTTAAAAGGGGATTTAGAAGCTTGCTATTTTCCTTGTTCTGGAAGAAGTTGAAC